TCTCTGTCTCTCTCTCTCTCTCTCTCTCTCTCTCTCTCTCTCTCTCTCTCTCTTTCTCTCTCTCTGGCTCTCTCTTTCTTCCCCCTCTCCACATTTAGATGGTGGCTGCATTCCAGACAAGTGAAAGTAGAAATTGCAACATCTCTTTAGGCCTGGGTTATGAAGTCCCAGACTGTCACTTCTACCACATTATGTTGGTTACAGCAAGGCACAAGGTCAATTCATATTCAAGTGTCAGGAAAAACAGTGTACCTCTTGATGGGAGGAGTTGCAAGATCATTAGATTACCCAACAGTGGTTATGTGATGGCTGTACTCTTTTAAAATTATGTGTATTTGGGAGGGAGGCTATATGTGTGAAAATAGGATTAGAGAGATACATAAATGGAAGGATGTTAACCCAAATGAGAATGCTGGTTATCTCTAAATAGTGTAAATTTAGATGCATTATAAATTTTATTTCTTTCATACCTACACTATGAAAAAAAAGTATTTGATAAAGAAAAACTAGCTCTTCACTATGTGAAAAGATATGATAAAGCTCTCAATAGGTTTATAGTCTATCTAAAAGTAACATATATTTTTAAAATTTTTTACAATAAGGATAAATACTTTGTAATCATATAAAATGAAAATATTTCATTTCAAAAAACTTATGTTGGGACAACCCAGATGGCACAGTAGGTAAACGCTGTGTTTACCTTCTCTCACAACTATATCAAAATTACAACTAATCTACAAAACAATCATTATTGAGAACCACCTCAAATCAAGGTGAACTGAAGCCTTTCAACTAAGGATGCCCAGAAGAAGCTACCTCCAGACTGGTAGGAAGGTCAGAGACGCGGAACAGGCTGGTCCCACATCCATGTGTGACCATTAAAGATTGGGAGGGCTATTTCAGCTGTGGGAGTCCCCCCACTTATTCCCTAGAGGAGCGAGAGATCCCAGCTCCACCCCAATCCAGGGGTCCAGTGCCCGGGAGAGATGTCCCATAATTTTTTCTTGTGAAAACCAGCGGAGATTGTGATTGAGTGAGACTGAGTGCAGCTGCACTCACAGGTGCTCCTCTTAAAGGGACTGGATGCAGACTTAGCTCTTAAAGGGACTTCGTGTGGACTTACCCATCAATGGAATCACTCGCTCTGAGCTCCAGTGCTGGGGCAGCAGCTGAAAAGGTGGCAGAGATATATGGTGGGGTACTGAGTTGTCTGGTCTGGGACGGGGGCTGGAGAGACAGTTTTCTCCTGGACGGAGGAGATGGCAGATGCCATTGTTTCCTTGCTGAGCTCTCCCCATTCCCTGCATGCGGACACAGGTAGCTGTTACATCTGAGTCTCAACAGTTAGTTTAATATGCCCTGGAGATTTGAGAACTGGCCCTGCCCAACTTTTGGGCACACCCAGTCTGCTTTCAGTGGCTATTTAATGCAGACTGCCTGCTTTGGCTCAAGCTGCAAACCTACCTAGGGTCTCTCAAAGGTTCGCAGAACCCAGACAAGCAGCATCTGGCTTGAGTGTTTCCTGTACCTCTGGCTGAGCAGCCCTAAGCTGGCACTAGCAGCAGCCAGCCTTGGTTCGCAGCTTGGCCTCTCAAGGCGCTCCCAAGTATAGCACAAGCAGCATCCATCTGTGGATTTCTTTCTAGGCCGCCCTGGGTGGGGCACAGGCTGTGGCTGAAGTACACCTACAGCAGATCTCCTGCAAAGTGGCCAGCTTCAAAACAAGCTGGAGCATCACCCAGCCTTCTCCAAGGACGACACACCCAAGGGGTGGATTGCACAGACACCAGAGTCTTGCTAGGGCAGATCCTGCTCCCTAGGGTCAGTCCCTGCACAAAAACTCTTCCGCTGTAGTCAAGGCC